CACCAAAACCACCACCTCCACCAGCTCCACCACCAAAACCACCACCTCCACCAGCTCCACCACCAAAACCAGACCCACCTCCGGCACCAAAGGCACCTCCCTTTTGGCTACTTAGGAACTTCTCTTCCTCGTTCTCTTTCGTACTTACTACATTTCTAGCAGCCACATTTACTACAAGCACATTAAGGCAAAGCAAAGATAACAGGACAACTCTTTTAGTAAACCTTACCATTTTGTTGGAGTGACGAGCTTCGTTCAATGAGAGCTAAGCTCAACTCAAGTGTTATTTATAAGGCCAAATTGGATTACATTAAGTAATCTCAACGACTAACCGTTCGCCGCATTTAATTCCCGAACAATCCTACCTACAATTATCAAATTATATGCAATATTTTGGGTTATTTTGTTTTGATTCTATATTCGAAAAAAAATGTGTTACAGTTGCTTTATCTATCTTATCTTAGACCAATTGGCAGCCAGCTCACACGCTTAGGTTTTAAATTGCTCATGTAAGATTCACCTTCTTCTTACATACTGAACCCTAAATTCATTTCAACGACAATTACTAGATAGTGTTTATGCCAGGCATGGCAAGCATCACTGAATTTTTTAACTTTTGTTCCCATGCTTACCCCATCAGGCCGACCTTCAACGTACGAGAGACCCTTTTTCTTTATCAGATAAGCAAGGGAGACTAGAATAAGTGGAGGGAGTAGGGAGTTAATTTAGAAGGTTCTGTGTTTAGCAAAATGGCAAGGATAGCTTGAAAATTAGCGTAGTTCCTTTTTCCCATTGACTAGTTATATTTATGCAGATTGATATATTATGATGAGAGCACCACAATGTCAGATTTTCTGCTATTCCCTATGGAGAGCAGAAGAAAAAGAAGAAGCAATGCAGACCTTTGACTCAGTGACATGTATCATATCCATGCCTTAATGCCTGCCTTATCTTGACTGTAAATTAGAGGGCTACCTGCTAAGAATCACTGCCCGTTGGCCGTCTAATCTTTGAGCAGAGTCTAAGCATTATTAATTGCTGGTATTGGAGGGGAATATGATTATAAATCTTCAACAGATGAAGATCCAACAGCTGCAATATCTGGAAGTTTATTCCCAATACCATAATTTTAATCAACACATATGAAATTTACTCTCAATTATCATTGTTTAGGTCCCAAATTAAGTGGTTATATTTAATAAATTCTCAACCTCTATCTCTCAACTATCCAAGGTTAATGCTATCATATTTCCTCAAGAGAGAGATTAATAGTTAATTTACTTCATATTACAAGATCTTACATCAGTTTCCCTTTTAGTTAATATTCGTACTTTTCAAGTGTCCTATACGACTAGTACATATATATATCACAAGATATTCGTGTTCATAATTAAAGAAAGTCTTAGGCTCTCAGCTGAATCTGAAAGCTTCTATATATGTTTAAAGGAAAACTAGACGGTGGAGCTTTGACCTATGTTTCAAGTTGTCTGCAGCGAACAACTAGTCACATTATATCTCTGAATGCGATGACCCTTTTGATCAAAATCAGAAATATTATACAAATCACCGAGTCCAACAATAAGGTATGGTGGGAGCTTATTCCATGCCGGTCCATCAACAGCTAGCAACCTATGGACGTATTTAACCATACACAGAAAAGAAAAAAAGAAAAAAAAGCTTTTCAACCTTGAAAAACAGTACCACATTAAATTCTCTTTGGAAAAAAAATTCATGAGTGTTGACTTCGACAGTACATAGCCATATATTGATTAACCTTCTGGTCTAGATCCAATGGGAACAAAATTGCATGCAGTATACACATGGGGGTCCAAGCTCAACCAACTCTTGAAAAGAAAGAAAGTGAAAATGATGGTACTAATCTTTAATTTTCAGAAAGATTTCAAAGCCAAGTACTTTAGTTGCTCAATGTGTATGCACCATCCATGTGCATGGTAGATAGAGAATTTATTGCGTGTCAAAAGGGAAGAAAATTAAGAAGATTTCTTTGATAGACATGGCCTGATATCTGATCGGCTTCTTCAAAGGAAAAAGATACATAGGTAAATGATTGGTATCTGAAACTTCTTTCTTTTCATGTAACATAGGAAACATGCCATGTTCTCTCTTGGGGATTATTTGATATTTTTTCAACTTGTGTCCCAAGGCCATCACCGACAGATAAATGCAAAGGGTTTTTGTCAAAAGAGCTGGTGGATGAACCATCCCATTAATTGATATTTAATAAAAAGATAATGATATTTGCCTTATTGTCTCATTTGTTTCATTCAATTGCTTCATTTTACATAACTTTATATGAGTGAACTGTGATTATGTGAATGACAGGCTCACAAAGAAACTTTTTCATATGAATTGTTGAACAGATTTATTAAAGAAACTATGATACCAAGACTTTAGATATATGCAAAAAATTGAAACAGCCAGGATGGTTGATGAACTGGTCTATGTTTTAGTATCGGGGGTAGGAACAGCACAGCGATTCTCTTGAAGCCCAGACGAATAGGGGTTGCAAACAGGGGTTATGTAATCCTCTATTGTATACCATTTGGTTGTCACAAGTCTTCTGCCTATCCAAGATTAAAGACTCGTAATAGCATTTCGTACTTGAAACCATTACATGTTTATCTACATAAACAGAAAATTAAGGGAAATTGGCAGTGGAAAAATATTCTTTTTGTCCATGAAATCAAGAAACATTATTTAGATGTGCAACACAGAATCATTTGGCTTTATACCCAATGCATGTTTTGAATCAATCCCTCTGGAATTTGAACCTTTATTTTTTCTCTCTTCAATGATATATTTGTGAATAAGCCTCTACATATATTTTCATGCATTCCCGATCAGAAGATTGCGATTCTATTTTGTGAACAAGAGTGCTGCAACAATGACAGCTGAAAAATGGATTGTGATCAGTAACTGCAATGACAGCATGCTGACATTCAAATATAACACATATTAATTGACCTTTGGTTATCAAATTAATGTGATTGTGTAGCTAAGTAACCACAAGAAAAGAAAAACAAAAGGATTGGGTGCATTCAAAGACCACTGAGATTTTTAGAGAAGGAAAAAGGAACAAAAAAGCTTTATCCATGGATGACTTTGCAAAAGGAAAGTATATATCGGGAGGCCATTTGATTAGTTGTATGAGGAGGATAGACCATGTTAATGGATAAACATTTTTCTCATTCTTATTAACAGTACTAGCTAGTATTTTAATGCTAACTTCATTTCACTATCTCCCCAGCCATTTGCCTATGACGTTTAACTACTTTGAATGCCCCCACTTGACTGCAAGCCCATGCTCCAAAGTCCAAAGTCCTCTCCCTTCAGTCGGCATGGGTTTGATGCCTATGGCTTTTCACACTCAACCGGCTCAATTAATTTTGGATCTATTTGAGTGTTATCTGCTTGTAGTGGTGAGGAATCATTTAATTAAGCAGATGTCTCGATCCCTCTCCCTTCCCTCTTCCTTTGAGTAAAGGGGTCATGTATCGGTTATTGACTTTTGGAAAAGCAACTTTGGGCAAAGAAGCCCACAAATCCCCATACCCGAAACTAGGTACTTTCATTGGACTATGGACTTTGATCCAAGCCTTATGGAAATGACCTTTCCATGGAGACTGGGTTGAGCCTGCCTCATCTTTCATGGTCAAGCAATTTCAGGCTATGGTGTGCGCGGGCTGGTGGCTTTCCTTTTATGGAGACTGGGTTGAGCCTGCCCCATCTTTCATGGCTTCATCAAGCTCAACAAACTATTACCAGGACTACAATGTGCACAAATGGATAAGAGGGTTAAAGAGTTAGAAAATCTGAATTTAAAAGTGAACAGCTTGGAAATATAATTTCATATTACACGTATTTCTCTAGAATAGTTGGAAGCAGACAATTGCTGCGTTCTTCTTACTAACTCATGCACCTTGTTCTCTTTTCCTTCTTTTGCTTTTCTCCCCCAAATTGCTTGTTTTTGGAAATGGGTTCGAAGGCCACTACCTTACTTGGTTGACTTATAAAATAAATAGTCCAAAAAGCAAAAGACATGAACGTGGAATTGGTGGCAAAGAGCATAAAAGCTCCATCAGGATTAATACTAGCTAGTATTTATTTGGCTATGTTGATAGGGCCGTGAACTTTTCAGGACCTTTCCATGTTACCCAACAACAGATTCCAGGTGTTCGCTTCCTCTCTCCCCCAAGAAAGAACAACAGCATTCAGAATCAATCAAGGAACTTTAACCCAATTATAAAAAATCGAATAGCTTTAAGGGAGGAAAAAAATTAGGCTATCAATGGTTATTATAACTCACTTTGAACCATCACAGTAAATGACATTTCATTCTTATTGGTTGTGGAGCAGCATAATTGGTTCCACAAGGGTTTTGTGCTCAAAGTCAACTGTCTATACGTATCGTGCGGGACTGGATATGTCTAATCTTGGCAACTGATGTTGATTGCCTAACCAGTCTTTGTGCATCATCTTCACATATTCTATCCATTAGAGGAGAGAGAGCACTTAAATTGAACGAGACAATTGAGATTAACCTAACTGTACATAACTTTTGCGGGTTGATAGCCATTGGGCATCCCTTTTTTGATCACGATGGATAACCAACAAAAATTTGCGAGTTGCTTATCAAATTCAAACCCTAAAATAACCCTAAATTAAAAGTACAAATCGACAATCGATCATTTTTAATTTTAAATTTTATGATAATCTCTCTTATTGATATTAATGATAATCGCATACACAATTTGAAATATAATAATTCTAAAATGTCAATTTGAAGATTTCTTTTTGAAAATCAATCTTCCTTAATTCGAGAATCAATAAAGTTTTTAGATATAATTTTGAATTATATAATCAAACCTAGAGGTCCCATTGTCCTATTTGCTTTTTCGATTTCTCCCCAAAGGAAACAATTGCCTAAATTGCCAAAAAGTTTTCCTAATCTATGCCCACAAAGGAAATTAATTTAATATTGCTATGATATAGAAATAATGATGCTCAATATCCCAAATATCAAATCATGTTAATTATAAATTAAATGATAAAAGAAAGGGGTTGGACTTAGTATATACTGCACATGGGTTATGAATGAGAAAAATTCTGCATATCTTGGTCTTGTTGGAGAATTTATCCTTTTAGACATAAGGAATCCTTTTTATAAAAAGTCTAATTTGTTTTAAACTATGCCCCTTTTTTTATATTTTGATGAAAAAAGAATACAAATAGGTACCATTCTCCATATATTAATTTGTGAAATAATATACAAAATAATTATAATATGAAGACATAAAAAATTTAAAATAGTTATTAATAAAGTGATATTCGAATCAAGTTGTGACCAAAATAATTCGTCATTTTTCTAACAATACCAACCCCTATATGTCCATAAAACGAGTAAGGTGACTCTCATCTCATCGTACTTTGAATTTAGTACAATTAAGAGGTATTATTAGTTGTTTGCTTGTTTGTTTTTAAAGTGTAAATATGAATTTTAATTATTTATATTTGATTTAATTAGATATGATTCCATTCCATGGCTTGGGCTTCAAGGTTTAAATCAATTCTCTATCTTTCCTTTTTTTTTCTTCAAATTAATTACATTTTCTTTTACTTCTTTTATTGGCATTGACAATTGGAATTTTATGTCATATTATAAGAATATATAAATAAAAATAAATTAAAAATTATGTATTTAAGAAGTTGAATAATTAATACAGTGTTTTTTATATTATTTGTTTAATTAAAATTAATTTTATTATACAAATTAATGTCACTTGACTCTTAATATCACAGATCTCACATTAATATAAAATAAATTTTATATTAATAAGAGATAAGTGGATCTTAAGTGTATAAGGATAAATTTTCTCGTATTTGTCTGACATACTTTTTGAATTGAAATATAGACTCGTAATTTATAAGTTTACTTAAACTTTGATTCGTGATATATGATATCAAAACAAACTCGAATCTTTAACTTCATAAGAGATACAAGAGTTGAAATAAATCAAAATTAATGTAAGAGTCTTTCTTTTTTATTAAGACACAACAAGTGTATAATTAAAAAAAATTAATGAGAGATGGAGTGAGTTTTGAATACATATACATAAATTTTTTATCACCTCTCGAATATTTTTTTCTTTTTAAATATAATTCATGATTTATAAATTTATTTAAATATTATTTTTAAAATTTAAAATTTTATCTGAGAGGACCAAATTTAAGCAACTTTAAATATTGATGTAAATTATACAAAAAGTGTGGGTAGGGCTTCAAGCGAATCCTACTCAAAAGGAGAAATCGTGTGACGGCGGTACGAAGAAGTTAACACGTAGAATCAGGTAAGTTGATGACAGGTGTAAGGCTGAGATTTTAACAGATGTAAGATGCGGAAGGCGTCGAAAAAGACGGGTGATCGTGATATTGTGCGTCAGCCGGTCACAGAGCACCGTCCCAGAATTCTCTCTAATGAATAATTACCCAATTGCATCATTCCATGTAATGACCATTTTCTCCTCCCTTTTGCTTTGTTTTTACAAATTCACTCGGGTTTGAGAATTCTATTTTGCAAGATAATTAATAACCCCCAAGTTTTCTTGACTTTCACATATAGCTTATAGGATGAAAAAGTGGAATGGGCACCCAAAAAAATAAATTTATATAAATATAAACTTAATAAATCAAAACATGACGTTTTATCCAAAATTATCTTATTAAATTTTAAAAATAATTGAATTCACGTTTTTATCCATTTAACAAATATATTTACAAGATTCATTTTGTTTCCAATTCTCAAATTTTTCGTCAAATCTCTCAATATATTTTTGTTATTAAATATATGTATGGGAAATTAAATATAATTAGTGAGAATAATGATACCTTTGATTGTCTCGTATGGAAAATGAGTTAAGACAAAATTTATCTTCACCATTTTCACTTTGCATATTTGCATACTTACAAAGTTGGTAAAACTTAATAAGTTATACACATAGGGACAAATTGCGAAATGTTCATATGTATTACATAACCGATAAGATTTTTATCTCAATGACAAAGTGAAGCATAATTAAGGTGTGTTTATTTGCTTTACGTAATCCAAAAAATTTTATCTCAATAAAAGCAAAGTTTTATACTCTTAGATCAATGTTTAAAGATTACAATGCATGGATTTGATTTAATTTAATCTTACATTGATTTTATTCACTAATTTTCTTATATTAGATGAAAAAGCTATGTTCATATTTGTTGGAGGTTAATTAGTTATAATTGTAAATTTTTATTCATAAATGTAATCACTAAAAAGGATATGCGTTATGTTAAACATTTTGTTTATTTGATTTGATGGTAACCAATTTTGTAATTTAGCATAATGTCATGGTGGGAGTTCTTGAGTTCAAATGGTTCCATCTCCATTGGCAGAACTTCAACTTTTTCTTAGAGATAATACATAGAAAAAAAAAAATTGCATGCAACACGAGGATGGCATTTTCTTTTTGTCCCTTTCAGTGCCACTAATTTACATGCAAAAAGCCAGAAAAAACGCAGTCGTTTTGTGCAATGAGAGAAGGATAATAAATCCTACCAAAAGGAAAGAGAGAAGGATAATAAAGAGATGGTTCTCACAAAATTTGATAAGCATGAATTGAGCTTCCTTAGGCATTGTCACACGTGGAATAGAAATTACCCAAATAATTGAATAGAGCTGCATGAATGTCTCCATCAGTTGAGCCAAGTAAAACTTAATTAACTTTTCCATATACTTAAAAACTTTATGAAAGAAATGTTGAATCTTTTTACGAATTTGGGGCTTTTATGTTTAATGACTAATGTAATGAGTCACGAATTTTGTATTAGTAAACAATAAGATTGGGTTTTAGATTTATAAATAAAGATTTTTTTGTTTAGATTAAAAATATGGATAAATGATAAGTTATATTAGAGTTTATCAAATTCTTTATTAATATAAGAGTTTTAATTAAAGATATCAATATTGAAATAAACTCGAATTAAGATGAGTTTATCTTTTGTAAAAGTGAAAGAGTTAATACAATGACAATGTTGTACAATTAAATAAGAAAAATGTCAAATCTCTTTTCGTTTAATAAATATAGATTTTAAATTAAAAATATAAATATATGACAGTGATACCATAATAAGCATCGGTGAAAGACGGATGAGCATATAACACGTTTGGTTCCCAGAATAAACAAGAATACAATAAAATAGCTATTACGTGAGAATAGAACATAATAGTTATTACTTAATTTGGTATGACAAATGAAATAAAGTAAGAATAATGATTATGACTTATTGTAGTATTTGGTTGGTAATAATAATTAAAAATTAGAAAATAAAAAGATAAAATTACCTTTGATTATATATGTGATTATTTATTTTATTTATTTTTAATATTTTATTTATAATCTAATCATTAACATTATAAAATATTAATATTTTATTTATAATTTAAATGTTATTATGATTTTAAATATTAATAATGTATAATTTATTTTAAAAATTTAAAATTGATAGTTTAAATATTAATATTTTATTTATATTTTAATAATTAATATTAAAAATAATAATATTGAATTTATAATTTAAATGTTATTATGAATATTTATTTTATTTTATTTTATTTTTTAAATATTAATAATTTATATCTTATTTATAACATTAATAATTTATCATTTAAATATTAATATTTTATTTTAAATTAATTATTATTTTTTGAAATATTAGTATTTTATTTATAATTTAAATATTATTATGATTATTTGTTTTTATTTTATTTTTTAAATATTAGTAATTTATAATTGATTTAAAATATTAATAATTGATAATTAAATTGATAATTTAAATATTATTATGATTAAAATATTAATACTTTTAATTAATTTTTAAATTCAAAATATTTTATAATATATAATTAATAACTTAATCTTTTCGTTATAATAAGATTTATTTTTTTTGTATTTGCATTTTTCATTTTTTAATTTAAATTTCACTTAGCAATTTAAAAATTAATATTTTAAAATATTAATTTTTATTTACAATATAAATATATTATAATTAAAATATGAAAATATTAATATTTTTTAATTTTAATTTAAAATATTAATTGTATAATTTTAAATTTATAATTTTTAAAAATAAATAAGAACATTTTAATTTAAAATATTTAAATTTTATTCTCATGGGTGTGGAATAGCCACTACATAAGGAAGGTATATTAACTATTCTAAGCTTTTATCAAATTTTAAAGAATAGCCATTCCTTTTGAAATGAGTATTCCTTCCTCAAATACAAATCAAACAAAGGGATAAAATTTTGTAACTCCATTCCTCCAACTAAACATGACCTCAAACGTTAAACTGGCAAAGGACATTTTCGTCATTCTGAAAGCCAACAATGGCATCCCGGTATTTCCTCCAACAGCAAGGGTCAGTTTTAAAGGACCCCTATCATATATATGTATTGAGTACTCGCCGCTTCGGTAACTCTTATTTTTCTCTCAGTTCTTTTCCTCTCTTTCTCTGGCCTGTCTTTGCTGTTTCTCATACTTCGCTTTGCAACTTCTTTCCTCCGCCATCTACCGGCGGCTCCACCGCATACAACGGCGTACGTACGCTCAGATCCAAAACTGTCTCTTTGGGTTCCCTGTCACCTCTGATTTTCCATCTCCAAATTCTCTCTATTTTTGATTGTTTTTCTTTTCCATTTTTATTTAAAATTTAATTGAACGAAATGTTTTTATTTTATGGGTTCTGTTTTGAAAATGTAAATGACTGATCTCCTGGTTTTATTGTTAAATGTTTTTTAAGTTGGGCTGTTTTGAGTTATTTCCCCCTGTGGACGTCTTCGCTCGCTTATCAATAAAGATAATTTGACACTTCTACCCAAAGCAATTTCCATTTGACGTTTTTACCCTTAACGGCGATTTAACGGCTTGACAACTGCTTACGTGGCATGATTTGAGTGCTATTTTTTTTTAAAACGAAAATGAGTCATCACCCGTGTAGGATTTTGACACCTGGAATCTCAAGAAAGCGTAAAGAGAGAGAAGCGTTTTATTCCTTTAAACCGTCCACTCCGGTTCAATCCCCGCTTTATACCGGTCCAAAATCCCCTCCCTCGCCAAATTGTTCGAACCGGCTTTTAGCTGGCTACATGGCGCATGAGTTCTTGACCAGGGGAACATTGTTCGGTAAAAAATTTGATCAGGCTCGAGCAGAGGCGATTCCAATAATCGGCTCATTTGCCGAACCGAGAAAGGCTAAGAAGGAAACCGAACAGACTGTTAAAAAAGAGAGCCAAGGCTATGCTGAGGTGGCAAGCATTTTGAAGAACGACGGGACCCACATCCCGGGGATTGTTAATCCTACCCAACTGGCAAGGTGGATCCAGATGTGAAAAACTCCGTAAAATGGGATGATAACGTGGCACGATATGACTGGCTGAAAATTCACATCCAACGCAATCGAACGGAGCACCCTCTCTCTCCGACCACTTTCGAGTTGGTGTGGCCCGGTCTCATTGAATCGTCGAAAGCCCCTGAAGGCTGAAGACAAGAGAGGCGAACCCATTTTTCCTTTTAATGTTAGTTAATTTATGCCTGATTTTTTTTTTAACTTTTGTTTTGTTTTTATTTCGAACTTTGATGTTGATTTTGCGTTAATTTAATGTATATATTAAATCATGAAAGAAATTACAAAGTTTACTGAAATATGCATGGGATGAATTTTATGAAGGTGGACTGACTATACCATGGGCAACAAATAGTTAATTATAGCATATATTTGACTGTGCTTTTATATATACCCAAGTGTTCTTGACCGCATCTTTTGCATGAACTTTGAATGTCTGGTTCACGTGCCTCTTGCTCTAGCGGAAAATCTTGGCTAGGCCTTGATTTTCCTGAATTATTCTATATATATTGCTTAGTCATTGATTTTCTTTTAGATGTTTGAATTTATATTAATTGTTAAAGATTAATAATTCATGGATATAATTACTACATAATATTATTGATTTGCTAGTTAGATTTTTACACGGGTAATTAGTTAGGGTTAGACCATAAATAAATTAAATGAAATTTTTGTAATTATATACTGTTAGTCATTGATTTACGCAAGAACACTCTATGCCACTAACCCAAATTTGGATATAAATTATAAATTATAAATTCTAGTTTTTATAAATTTTTGTCAATAATTCATATTAATTATGAATAACTAATAGATAGATAAAAGTATAAAAGTAATTTATTAATTTGAAACGTTGAAAGAGAGATTTAGGTGAGGGAGATGACCCTAAAGGATACATTTTTCTCCTTAAACCAACTGATTAAACATAAAGTTTAACAATAATTGGGGTTTAGCTGTAGTGAGACTTTATATTCAAGGAAACTGTCTTTTCAAGTTTGCAAGAAACACCCACCCCCTTGCTCTCTAAGCAAAAATGGTGTGATAGAAGTTTTAAATAAGACAGAAAAGAGGGGGTCCTTTTCGAGTACTAGTTGATCATAACTTGAATCATTTCCCAAGGATTATGCTTATGAAGGGGGAGGGAGTGGGGGGGCTTTCCTACTGACTCACATGGTGTCGTTTTGCATAATCCATGCGTGTGTATCACATTGTTTTGAGTCATTATTGGTGATCGTGTGTTTGGACTGCAGCTTCCTTTTTTCATTTTCCTGGTCATTTCTTTGTCTCCAGCCCCCCACTTACGAAATTGCTAAGTAGGTAGTTAGGTTTAAGCTTCTTTTACAAGGAGTTTGGATTGTAGTTTCCGGAGTCATCGAAAGAAACCAAAGCCATTTTCCATTATACGATGTTTCATTCCTTTTCCTAGTCCTAAGTCCCCACATTGACAACGCCTCCATGACCGATGAAGTCAAGGCGAGGAAGGGGTCAGAACGTACACTGATAAGCCAAACCATTTTCCAGGGCTTAGTTTTCTCCCCACGCTTTGATTCCTTTTGGTCCCTGTATAGCAGCTGATCGTTGACAATAAAATTTTCCTAGGAACAATACTGTACATAGTCCATGGTTTCTGATGATTGTCATTTCCAATATGGCGAAAAAAATTAACTGTATGTAGTTGACCTATGAAGTATTGTTCTCGTCAAAGTAACAATAAAATGCTATCCCTTAACCCGATGTAAGTTGACATAAATAAAATTGTCTTGTTCAATCCGTTTCCTGGAATGAATTGTTTCTTGTTTTGCCAGAATGGAATGAATTGTGTAAAAAACAGACCAAAAACTGAAACCTGCATCGTCTAGTTATATATTGAATACTCTATGGCAACCACTTGATCAAACCTACTTCAGAATCCTAGTACATTAGGAACCTTTTTAGCACTAAAATGCAAGCCAATCATACTGATGGGAAGTAATCCTAAGCAGTGCCCCAAATAAGATATAGTTCTACAGATAGAGAAATACGATTTATTAAGAGAAAAGAGAACATCTCTGCCATTCTACTACGCCTTCTTAATTGCAACAGATCTTGCTTTCAGGTTGAGGAAGATAGCCCTGAAGTTAACAAGCGGAGCACACAACAAAGTTAGATTAGCATGGAATAAATATGTTGGAACCATCATACCTTAAGCAAGGTGAAACCAAGTCAATCAATGAAAGAAAAAGGAGAAGATTCATCGATATATTCACATAAATAACATGTTCCTGATTCCCAGAAAATGGTATGCTTGCAACATCTGCAATAAATTTGCCAATATTCGTTTTGCTTTTATGACCAGTCATATATTCACATTCCATTTCCCTAGACTTATAAAGTCAATGCATGGGTTGAGAGATGATAAGTTTTCATAGGGATGGACTTATAAACTGTTTTCTTTTTGCATTGGTGATTTAGTAATGACAAGCTCTTTCTACAGATGAGAAAATTGCACAAGTGAAAAATAACTAGTAGACTGATAGTGCGGGAGAAAATGCTGAGCTGAAGGATTCAAGAGCTCACCAGCAGGAGGCAACAAAGCTATGAAACAAAACTCGGAACTGCAGAGGCATATACTGGTAATTTATCCAGCCAACTATCGGCCAAAACTGCAAGTAATAACATCATATCTGCAGTGTTAACTAAACCATACAGTTAATGAGTTGCTTGGTATGACAAAGATGGTTTCTTTTCCCATACCTTCCATGCAGTCAACTGAACAGTAGGGTAATCCTTTCTAACTTTACCTCTGACTAAACCCCATGGTCTTCCTGCAAATATTATAATAGAGCATTAATTTATAAACAAAATGGCAGACGATGAACAATGTAAAATGCTCTTTACACAGCATACTATTGCAACCCGCTCTGACAAGAGACATCACTTAAGTTTGGGTTCCTATGATAAGGACCTACACTGAAATTGGGAAGAAATTAGAGGGGCATTTATTGCCTATAGAACAGGTTAAAGTACATAGAACTGGGACCCAAGTATTTTGGCACAAGCTTAGCAACAGCATACCATTAAAATTGGTAGTATCTTGAACTTGGAACTAGGAAAATTCACCCATTAGTTTTGAACCAGTTGTCAATCCAAGTTATGGAGAAAGTAATATCAACTAGCTTTTGTAGTTTTGCATACAAGGAGTTACAGAAAGAGAGGTATGATTATGTTGGTCAGGCTAATACACAATGATGTAAGCAAGCAATATAAAATTGATCCAGGATTTTGCAGCAAGCCATGGGAAGCAGGACATATTTCTCCAGTAAGAATCAAGCTATAGAAGATCAACCTATTTCACTTTAACAAGGTTGAACTGCCAGGTCACTATGATCCAACTTTACAATTGGATCAAAGGTCAGACACAAACAATTTTGACATTACTGATATGTAAAAGAAAGATAGCAACTAGAAGACCAGCACCAACAAGAACAGGAATGATAATAGTAATGCCAATAATAGCACAACTTGAAATGTTCTAGGATCACAAATTGAAAAGTTACACCTACAGCAACTCTACCCAAATAAAGCTCACATAGTAATGAAACCATTATAGGTATATCTTTTGCCTTTTTTTGGAAACAACAATTGCAAATATCAGAGTGAGAATCAACAGAAATCATAAATCGGAAAAGGCCTATATGATTCACGTGAGGGTGGTTAGGACTTGAATAACATATTTTGAAGATGCACATACCTTCAACCACCAATCCGTAGTACATCATAAAGAAAAAGTTGTTCCAAGGAGAAGAAGTCAATTGTTCCAACAACACCTGTAACAAGCAATTAAGCAGTAATAAATTCCTCCACTAATCCTCAACTAAATTTGGGACAGAGGCTATTAGCAGTCTAACCCTACAGAGACTAGCATAAAACTTGTTGGTAAATAAATAAATAAATAAAAAGAAAACTTGAAATCACAAGAATTAAACTGTAAAAAGTTACACAATTAGCTAATGAAGTCAAGCCATATGAACATGTTTACCTTCTTTGCAACAGTTTTACTGCCTTTCTTTCCCCTGAAAATGATGTCCATCAGTTTGTGAAGGAAGTGTCCAAATGGTCCTGAATAGGCAAAGCCGTAGAGCTGCAAGAGAATTTAATTTTAATTTCATAAAAATCAAATGACTCCTCATTTGGTTGCTAAAAAGAATATGAAAAAGCAAGAAATGGGTTAAACTTATTATCAGGTGATTTCACCACTTCAAAAATGCAGACAAACATACGTGCCTTAAACTAACTTAAGGTTCATTTCCTCCCAATTTCTTGGCATCCTAACGGGAAACTTGGGAGTGATATCCAACCACACATAGAAAAACGAAAAAAAAAAACAAAAAGGAAAAGAAGCAAGAAAAAGGTCAACATACCATGATAAGAAGCAATCTTCTCAACTGAAGCCTTTTGACCCCAGATATCTTTTGAGCAATCAAGTCACTGCAACCAGCTAAAATCCCAGCTGTAATTGCCTGCAACCCAACATCAAAATCAACAAAAAAAAAAAAAAACTCAAACAGCTGAACTTAACAAACAACCCTTTAACAAGGCCAATGAAGCAGCAAAAACTAAAAGAAAAAGAATCAAAATTGAAGCAAGAATTTAACAAAGTAATCATTTTCAAAACATGGGTGTTAGTCAAGCAGAGAAAAATATGTTCCTACCTTGGTTCTAAGAGGGTGAGCTTGGAGTTGAATAAGATACTTTCTCCATGCTTCTTGGGCAATATCTGACATGGTAAAGAAAGTGAACAACCCTCAAAAACTCTTTCGTATTTTTTTCTTTGTTTCTGAGGGTAACAAGAGTTTGATTTTCTCCTCCGTTGATGGAGTTTGATTGGGGTTTTTAAAATTGTTAGGACACAGGACAGCGTACGAGAACTGAAGGGGATCTGTTCTACAATGACAACTTTGCGTTTGGTGGTTGCGTACTTGAGTTACACATGCGCGAGCTTCCGGTTCTCCTGGTCAAAGTCTTAGGACACGTATTTTCTTCATTGTTTAAAGAAAGTTCCTCTCATTTTCCTTTTTTTTTATTGAAAAACCATTTTAAAGTAATTACGTAGCTGCGCATTGAATCCTCTTTCCTCCAACCCACCAATCAATTTTAAAGTTTTTTTCTTTTTTGTTAAAAGTGAAAGTTTAGATAAAATATTCTAGATTTATGTTGCTATATACTTTAGTCTATTGTTTCTTTGTATATAGATAACGGTGGAAGTCACCACAAGTCTCTCCACTTCCTAGGTTGACCAAGTCTTTCTTACATATAATAATTATGTATAATAATATTTATATGATATCATAGATTATATATGGGAAAGATTTAATCCTGATTATGGATGAGTTTTTAATAATTTAAATATTTGAGTTTATCAAATATTTTGTTAGTTTAAAATTTTTCCATAATAATCTATAATGGAAAGGTAATACACTTAACCGTGATAATTATTATAATTATTATTATATATTATAATAAAAATACTTAAGTATTTATCGAATAAATTGGTATGGATTATAAATATTGTGATTAGGGTATTTAAAAATTTTGGTTTAATGATGAATAAGTTATATTTAATTTAAAAGAGTTGAGTTCGAGTTTACAACACATATATAAAAAAATATAAAAATTGAGTTTTTCAGATCCAGTTTTTAAATTTTGATTTGAACCATTTTAGCTTAGAAAGATAAGTCCTTTTATTCATCAAAGATAAATCTTTTACAATAAACATGTAAGCAATCGGTTTAATATCCTTTCAGAAATTGGTGCTCATCGCCGCATGGTAGGAGGCATGCTTGGAGGTGGAGCATTAGGGGGTCCAATCCAACCTGTAGTAAACAAATATAATAATTTCATCAAATCTTGACACCAAAGGTATATTACAAATGGGTTGGATCAATCCAGGATTTTATATACCTCTGGATGGATCAAAGCCTCTATTTTTGAGCTCTGCATGCTCTTGGCAAAGGGCACATGCCTCACACCAAAAATGAACACAGCAGTCGTTGCAAGGCTCGGGAGGCAACCCGAATTTGGCTCGCAATTTCTCCCTATACACACAGGAGAGCAGGCAGTGACACGAACACAACATCAACAGGCCGTATACACAACCTTGTTTAATGCAAGCTGTACGAAAATATAACATCAGAAACAACAATGGCAAGATCAGGAACCAAAAGAAATAGTTTTGACTTTGGATTGAATTCTTACAGCTCTGTCCTTGATCCACAATTTCTGCAATTTGGCCGAAGGTGATGCATGGGAGCCAGCATGTTATGCAGCCTGCATATAGCAAGTAGTTGAAAAGCAACATCAACTTAAAACACCAGTTTTCAAAGCATCGAAATGAGCTCGATGACATACCGAGTGATAGACGTAATTAATTGTGTTACATGTGTGTATATACGTGCGTGCTAATAACTTACAAGTGCCAACGTCTCCACAGTCGCAGAGGGAAGCAGACCATTCTGGAGGCTGGAGACGATGAAAAATGTTCATGTTTCCTGATCAAATGCAAAGATGGTGATCGCCTGGTATAAGTTTAGGAATGCCAATGATCCATCCATTTATAGTACAGGGCGGCATTGGCAATGGCAATGGCAATTGACACCTTCCAAATTAATTTTTTAATTGCCTGTTGAACTTATTTTATAGCATAAATATATCTCGATTTCCATCTCCGGCTGCCAAGATCTTAAGACCCTTTCTCGTATGCAAGGATGTTGTGCAAAGCCAGATTATCTGCCGTCTCACCTTCTGCCATCGTAGTAGAGTAAGAATAATATTATTTTAATTATTGGCATATTATTCTTCATTATCGGCTAACAATAGGACAATATACTTAAAAATACAGTTTAAATTTATAGTTTGAATGTTCTTGGAAGTTAAGAACAATCGACTATATTTTTGGACAGTGGTTATTGTCTTAGTTTATGGTTGGAGATGTTATCAAGGTGTTTGTTTTATTTATTATTGATTTTTTTTAGTATTAAGATAATATTAATAATAATAATAAATTTATTTATTATTTTTTATTAATGGTTTCTAAAATTTAATATTTTGGTTATTATTATATTATTTCAGAAAGCTTAATATTATTATTATTAAGAAATAAAAAATCAGAATCTTTATTAAGTCATAATAAAAAAAAAAAGAAAAAAAGGAAGGTTGCAGGCTGCAGGTTATAGTTGGCTCTTGGCTTGGATATTTGGGAGAGCTTGACAATTGAGCCTAGCACTGGTGGGTTTAACAGAGTAATCTACTTGGGCTTGGGGCAATGAATTGTTGCCAAGTTCTGATTAGATTTGCTTCTGAAGTCAATCAAAACCAATTACTTTTAATATACGAGTATGGGCGTATTCTTCAATTATTCTGACATTCTTTTTCACATGTATTTTTCAACTAAATTTAATACTAATAGTTGATGTACTATCACCTTTAGAAAAGCTTTTTTATACACCTCAATTCCAATGAATTCTGTAACTAGCCTAACAAGAAGAAAATTGGCAGAAAAAGAAGCAACCTAGCCACCTTTGAAACGTTTGAAAGGAGGCTTGTTAGTGGGTCTGCTTTATGTTTCCATGGTACTAACCAAGCCACTTCTAGAAGAGAAGAGTGGTCAGTTGCAGGAAGAAAGTTTCATAGTCCAGTTGTTTTTGCAGAAAAAAATTGCACTTCACTTTGTCTTATGATGTATTACACTTTCATTAAAGCTGAAAGTGATAAGAAAACATATACTAAGTAGCTTTGGCTCTTCGAATTTGCCTTGGGACACTTGAAAATTTTCAATTGTATGATCTCATTGTAGCAATAGTGCTCAACACTGTGATTTGGGCTGTACTGGCATATCAATGTGTCTCACACTTTAATCGTGGTACATTTAATTTCAATACTATGTTGCAGAATTTATGGTTTAGAAGCATTAAAAATATATGCTATATTATACTACAACTTTTCTGCCTTCAGAGTTGGTACCTTGGTATGCGGCAGTTTGCACTGGAAGCTTTGAAATCGCAGCAGTTAGAGAACTAATTTTTAATGGGAGATCTAAAATATCTGAAAGATCTTGAAAGAAAGAGATAGGCATGGATGATTGACGATGTCACCCTCTCCCACTAGCAGTGGCAATACTTAAGTCATTAGGTACTGCGCTGTGCTATCTTAGGCTACAGAATGATTAGACCAACAAGTTGAATATTCCAACATTGGTTTCATATGGTTGGTAGATGAGGCTTGAGAGTCTGATGTCAGGATTGGAAGTGCGGACAAATTCATTATCTTATTAAGCAGCCCTGAATAAGTGAACTGCATCTCTGCTTTAATGCTGATAATGATGTGATTCAACGTGTTTTCTCAATCATGAGGAACTGGCTGCAAGGTCGTACAAGTTGCAGCAGGCAAATTTGGGAAGCTTTCATCCTCATCAATCTAAATCATGATTTGCATTGGGGTTCTGGCTGGTCTGCTTTAGCTATAAGGACATTAACTGAGCAGCAAATTTCATCATATGTATCTTCTATTTAGCCAGAGTTTAATAATAGCTCCATCTATAATTTAGAATAGAGAAACTCCTTGATGCAGTAAGGTTGGGAATAACTTTGAAGCTTTTGCTTAGAGGGAAAAAAAAAAGAAGAAAACACTTATGGAAAGAAATTTTGGATATGGAAGTGCAAGAATAGTTTCAATCTTAGTTAGAGAATCCTCTCCAAAGAGAGATATGGTCATACTTGGGACTTGAGAGCCATTTTATATCCCCAGTCAAAGCCCTTCATGAAAATCACAGACAGATATATATATATATATA